TAAACACTTCCGATTATCTGTAATGGAAAGCATAAGTTGCCCTGCACACCCAAATGGTTTGTTCTCCCTCCCTCCTCCTCTCCTACTCTTCCTTTGTTAATTTTGTCTTTGTGTCTTTTCACTCTTCTTCTTCCTTTCTTCCCTCCCCTTATTCCTCCATTGAACATCAGTATTGGATGATGAGGTGAATGCACCCACAAAGACAAATTCCAACCACTAAATGACACTTACGTGCATTTCTAATAGATAACCATGGAATGTACATATCCATACTATTAGAATATAATACAAATTAGAAAGCAACCATACACCATGTTGACAATTATATATAAATAATTTTCCTTTCAGCCAGAGTCACTGATGAAGAACACAGACCTAGCAAAATAATGTCTCCTGATAAAACATGCCAGAATAAAACAAATAAAAACCCCTTGCATGTTGATCTTCAAACTGGAAGATAAAAAAAACAAGCCAACAAATGTTCTGTAGCAGAGCAACTGTTATGAGTTTGGTTACAAAGGTATAAACAATGTTGCAGAGAGAAAACAAAACAAACACAACCCATTACAAAGTTCTCCCTTATCTTCTCCAAAGTATCTATAAGAGATCCAAAAGTTGCTATAAAGTATCTATAAGAGGTCTGGTTCCAAGACTGTTGTTCTCTTTTCATTAGAAAACAAGTATCCTAGTGTATAAAAAACTTTGATTTAAAAACTTACATCATTAGAATCAATTATTGTATGCATAATTTGCCAAATTCACTCACCCTAGTATATGTTTCACTGCTGCAAACATACCATACAGAATTCTGTTTTGCACCTATTTCAAGCATCACTGTATCTTGTAGATATTAAAGATGTGTACTGATTCTGATGATCCTATTTTGTGCCAAAAGTACATTGTTTCCAATTTCCTTCCTCAAAAGTTACATTTTAACAATCTAAACTTTCTTCACTAGTGATTTTAGAGGAAATAAAATAATCATGTAAATTCATATTTTCCGTCTCCATTTTTTGGGGGAAGGATTTTATATCCATGTTCTCCCTGATCCATTGGGCTTTTTTTCTCCTAATCTTGTGCAACTTTCTATCTCTAAATTTCAAATAACAACATCATGATCGGAGGGCTATTATGGCAGTACTCTAAACTGGTGCTATATTTTCTTGGTTGCATCTTCCAGGTAATTATCTTGTCATAAACTGATAACATATTCTTCTGTTAGGAAAGCTTTTAGCTGTTCTTCTTGTAGCTGCTTAAAGGCAAGCAAACTATATTCTCACTAATTATTATTCTGTTGTCTCCCGAATAATCAAGATATGTTGCACCTACTTCCTTTGGTGCTGCTTTCCAAAAGTGACCATATCCTTTCTACCAAAGTCAACATAAGACCTGCAACATCTGTGTCCTACAAATTTAAACTTTATGAGCAAAGACTTCTAAATTTCAAGCCACTAGTCCAGGAGATAAGATGTATTTTTGGCAAATTTTGCAGATGACATCTATATCGTCCCAACACCATGCCTGTAACACCCTATGAAGTTTAAAAAGGACAAGTGCTGGATTCTGCACCTGGGATGGGGCAATCCTAGCTGTGTGTAATGACTAGGGAAAAAGGCTGAAGGGCAGCACTGCAGAAAGAGACCTGTGGGCCCTGGACCATGGCAAGTGGAACATGAGCCAGCAGTGTCCTGGCAGCCAGGAGGGCCAACCCTGTCCTAGGGGGCATCAGGCACAGCATGGCCACCTGGGCAAGGGAGGGGATTGTCCTGCTCTGCTCTGAGCTGGGGTGGCCTCACCTCAGTGCTGGGGTCAGTTTTGGGCATTGCAATATAGCACATTAAACCATTAAAGAGCATGCAAATGAGGGCCACAAAGATGGTGAAGGGTCTTAAGCAGAAGCTTTATGAGGAGCAGCTGAGGTCACTTGGTCTGTTCAGCCTGGAGGAGACTGAGGGGAGACCTTACTGCAGTTACACCTTCCTTTTGAGGGAAAGAAACAGGACAGGTACCAATCTCTTCACTGTGGTGACTAGTGAAAGGTTAGAAAAAATATGAAGCTGAGTCAGGGGACATTTAGGTTTGATGTCAGGAAATGGTTCTCTACCCAGAAGATGGTTGGACACAGGAACAGGCTCCCCAAGGAAGTGGTCACAGCATCAAGCCTGTCTGACTTCAAGAAGTGTTTGGGCAATGCTCTCAGGCACAGGGTGTGATTTTTAGAGTGTCCTATTCAGGGTTGTGAGTTGGTCTCAATGATCCTGATGGGTCTCTTCCAACACAGCATATTCTGTGATTCTGTGATTGTAAAAACACAAGTAGTTCTGTATTGTTCTTGGAGATGGGTTGCTTCTCAAATAGGCAAAAGCAATAACATTTCTGTGTGTGAAGCCATTACACTGCAGTTTTCCAAGCACTTGACAAGTTACTTGTAGGATTATTAACTCTAAAAAGATATTACTCAGTTGCATGTCTATAAACTTCTTTCACAGTCATTAAATAATGATGTAATCTACTTCTATAGATATAACCATGTCATAAGTTCTTTTAAAGTCTCCAGAATTATTTTTTCCTGTAGAAATGAGATTAGCTATAATGCATGAGAATATTTTGCATTATCCACTGCTCTGTAATACTTTTTAGCTTCCATAAAGCAAAATATTTAATAAAACTATCTGACAGACACCATGGAAATGCTTCTTCATAAGGATTCCTTTCAAATGTATGTGCAAACTATGCATCATTCTAGCAGAGGCTGCACAATCCCTTTCCTCTGAGACTGTGCATCTAATACACAGGATATAAACCCATTATAAATGTCAGCTCTCTCAACAGCATTTTATAGATACTGCTGAAATATTGGATTAATCTCTTATTCTTAGCTGTTTTGGGAAAGCCCCAGATGTTGTTTTGTTCTACCTTCATTTCTTTTGTAAAAATTTTTACTTTACGTCCTATTTTACATTCTGTTCTATTTCCACTTATGAAGCTGTCATCTTTTTTTCAGATCTTTCTTCAACTTCTTTTGTTAAGTTTAACACTGTTTCAGCTCTTATTTTACCTCCTTTGGTGATTGCAGTTTCCTGCAGGTATGTCCTCTATTTCTTTTATCTTGACTCAAGACAACTGACAGCTCACATATCCCCTTGTACAACACTAATATTTCTCTTGACATAGACAATTTCTTGTTGCTTGGAATCTTGTGGATGAATAAGACCTGAATAATGCTCTGATATGACTCAAAGTTATTGAAGAAATAGTGCCCACTGTCCCCATATAAGGTAGGGAACAAAGACCAACAGACAGTTTACTCAACTTCCTTGCCTCTTTACATTCAACTTTTCTTCTCCTAAACTTAAACTCCAATCAGCTCCTGGATTTAGCATTGTTTTAAAGCTGCTTTCTCTGGTGTTTATGATGCTTCTCTGACTTAACACATAAATAGAACAATTTCTAGAGTGTTTTTGTCTCTCTGATTCCTGTCAGCTTGGCATTTCAATGTTCACTTAAATTTCTGGGACATGCCTCAGATGCTTCACAAATTTGCATGTGGATTATTCAAAGATTATAAACTATCCCTAAAATATTATTTTTCCCATACTAAACTGAAATGGAAGGTAGGTTTTATCCTCAAAATAACAAAAAGGCATATAAATAAGAAAATATAAGATGCCAAAAAGACCAGCAGGACTGAAGTCCAGTCCATTCTGTCACTTGCATGCCTATAGAACATATTCAGCAATACAAGAGCCACAATAGAACAGGGTGGAAAAATTGGTATGAATCAAGCTAAATTCCTAACAACTAACTATTAAAAGACAGAATGAGCAGAATCATAATTTCTTCAGCAGGTGTCCATTAAATAGAAAATTACTGAAATAATGAAAATTGCAAAGATGTTATTGAAGTAATATATTCAGCATATAGGCAAATCTGTATTTGATAATACTAGGTACCTCTTTGTCCAAGATATGCCAGTAATCTTTATTTCTTAAAATTCCATGTGCTTGATTTATACTACTGGACACAACTTTCCCAGTACAATGATGTAACATATGTTATTAGCACAGATAAAAACAGTACCAAACTTAAGACCTGTCTCAGAAAAATAAAAGTATATCTGCATAAATCACAAAATTATAAATTATTGTTCAAAATGAAGTTTAAATAAATATTTGCCTGAGAAGTAAGTCAGCAGAACAACTTTACAATGTTAAGTAGAATAATTGTGCAGTACTCACAACTTTTGTGTCACACCGTTTTTGTTCCCATCTATTCTGAAATCTAATCTCGTATCTTCACCTCATGTCCTTGAAAAAATCACTGCACTCAGTGGGTACTCATTTCTTGCTGAATCCCATTCTGTGGATTCTAGGAGCCAAGCAACAGCTAAGCTAACAGCTGTAGTTGGATTGTAATCTTGCAACTAAAGTTTTGTACTTAGTAAAAAGCAGCTGACCTGGAAAAGTCTTAAAGGATTGGAATTGTCAAGCCAGTATGCAAACCATATTCCACAAGGCTAAATCAATATTTGTTTTGTTTTGTGGCATGGTATGGAATCTTTCCTCCTCTTTTAGCAATCTCAGCAATTAACCCTCTCACTTTAAAAGAATCAGCCCCATTTGCTAATGTAAGTCTTCCACTAATAGGACTTCATTCTCTGAACACAGAGATAAATATCTTTAAAACTTTTTTTTATAAAATAAAGTTCTGTGTAAAGTACTTTTGCTGCTGTTGTTGTTGAACATATGGAAGGCACCAAGTAAGACAAATTTATCATATGAAAATATCAAACCATTTATAAAGTAACTACTGTTTTGTTTGGAAAATACAACAAAATCCATAAACTCACAAAATATGTATTGTGCCTGGTTGGGAAAAAAGAAAATAAAGGTGAATGCTGGGAACGTAGAGAAAGGAACAGTGTATAGGATGTTTCCCATACTGCTGCAGCAGCAACTAAGATTAATGAACAGAGAACAAGTGGTTGACATATCACCTACCCATGGGAGTTCCAACGCCGTAACCTTTGGAGTCTATCAGGCCTCCAATCTGTGTAAGGTTACAGTTCCTCTGTGTGACAAACTCAATGGTTGTGGACTCCATTAAAAATGCGTAGTCAGAGGTAAGCACGCGTTGGATACCTTCTTCATTACTTTTGACAAGTACTGACTGCCTCCTGCTGCTCATGAAGGCCCACATCTTGTCATAAGTGGAGATTTTGGATTTCTGAAAGGCAAATATTAAATGCAATATGAATAAGAATAATATGCTTATACGAATGAAAGCAAACTCTCGATTTGCACATTGATCTCCTCTCGGATTTTACTGTGTCAGGTTTTACCAAGGCAATTTTCTAAGGATTTCTGCGCCTTTCATCTCAGCTGCACTTCTCATCTTCTCCATGTGAAAATAAACAACTGGACACATTATCAAATGTGAAATATCTGTTGTTTATCTCTTTTTATTGTTTATATGTTTTTTATGCAGAAGGAAAGCCTACAAGTAGTTCAGGTCAGTGGAAAACTATTAAGTATTTCACTCTAGAAAAGATAATCAACTATGTTGTTGAATTTTGTGGGAGAATATGTGGATTCTGGTACAAGTGAAATAGTGAAATTTTGCTGTTATTTCAATCACTCAGCTGAACAGTTCTGAAAACCTAATGCATAGCATGGCAATCTGAAGTAATCAAAGCACTTACAGATGGCAGTGTGTGGAGAAAACAGTTGTGAAGGAGAAGTTCATAAAGATAGCATTTTATCTATTGTACATGACAAAAATACTTGGAGAAAGATTTTAAGTAAGAGATAATATCACCCTCTGGTCTAAAGGCTAGTTTGCCTTACAGAAATGGACTTCTGAAAGTCCTAAAAATTAATATGTGTTTTCTGATTTAATATTTCTAGAATACAAAGAACTGCTGCGGTAGGAAGGGAATCAGTAATTTGGGACAAAGGAGTCAGTAGTTTGGAAGAAATTGTTGCTGTGCAACTACAGAGGAGTTGCTTCCTTTTTTTCACCTGAGTTGGTTTAAAAAGAAGGTAATTACCTTCTCCCATTTTTGTAAAATGCAGTGCTTAAGAGATCATAATGACTGGACAAACTGAAGTTATTAGAAATACTGAACGTTTTATAACCCATTTGTCCCATCTGTTTAATAACACTGCAAAAGCAAGATGTATCAAAAAATGCTCTGTAATGTTAAATTTTGCCTAATAAATAAAATGTAGAAATATCATGTAAACATTAGTATTATCAGACTTTTTAAGCTGTCTTTCCTCTTTTAATGTGAGTTTAATATTTCTGCCATCAGCTCTGGAAGAAATATTAAACAAAGATTGACACTACAATCATTTCTCAAGTTCACTGATTGGCAGTCAGAATTTCTCACCCAAAAGAGAGTTAGCAGTGTATTGGAATGAAAAGAACATTTAGGAAAAAAGAGATTACTTTGTCCCCCTGCTGATACAATCCAAGAGTTCTTTTGCTATGCCTGGAGACTTAGCAAATCAAGCATTTGAACTAAGTCTAGTGTCAATGCCAAAACTGAAGACTTTAAAAGCTCTGCATTATGTAAATTGTTATTGTATTGAACATAATGTGGGCCAGAGTGCAAAAGATTTTAGCAACAATGAAAGAAGAAGACATTTTTCTTCAAAATATTCTGTGAACATAGAGAACGCAGAATAGAGAGGACCAAATAGATAGGGTCTCTCCTCATACTGCTTGTATTTTGAAATCAAATAAATCTTCCTAGCATTTAATGTTACACTGTAGCATAATATACTTGAAGAAATGCACATGAGCTCTGTAGAAGTCTAAGTTAATGTGCAATACAGACAGGTTGGAAATAATTTTTTTTTCATTATTTGCAACATTTTACTGAGTACCCTTATTTAATTCTTTTATCATACAGTCTTTACCCCAGTAAATATTTTAGCTGCTATAAATAATCTGAGCAATATTGGCAGAGAAAATAATTATAATAAATGCTTAGATGCACATTGCTGACACGTGGTAGGGGAAGGAGAAGAAAAAGACAAATGGGATACAACAAAAAAAGTAGACAAGGAACTGTAATGCATATGTATGTTACTATTTTTTGTTGAGAAAAAATCAAACTTCAGGATGAAAAAATAATAGCAAGGGGAATGTTTGCTTTCTACTCAATCACTAGAACATGTGAAAAGAAATACAATATCCTTTAAAGGACGAAGTGTTCATATTATGATGACTGATTTAATCAGCTAGGATGAAGCCACTGCTACTATTGAAAAGACAAGAAAGAAGGTCATCAACAAAATCAGAGAAAGCTCCTGCAGAGGACAGCTCATTTACTGGAATAATTAAAATGAAACAAAAACATTAAAAGAGTCTGATTAATGATTAATTAAGAAGAGGAGACAAAACCGTGAATACTAGTGCACATGGCTCACCACTGTAAAGTTGACAAGGGTGACAGAAAGTGCACAAATGTGAATGCTTTTCCCCTACTTTCTTCCACCCCTAAAAGCTGAAATTATGCAAGGAATAATGCCACTCTACTTCTGAACCCTTTGTTTTTGCAGTTTTTTTAATGCACAAGAGATATTTTTTTTTCAATCTAAAATTATGGAACCTTCTTCATTTGATTTAGGAATATATATTACCACAAATAGTTGTCCTGTGTTTGCCAAAATACTCAGCAGACTCATTGTGAAAATCAAGAAGTCAGAACAATGAAAAGCATCAGGAGCCCAGTTGACATTGAATTAAAGATAATGACACTCCAACATGCTTCCTGTGGTTATGACTGTATCATTCATACTGTGAGAAGCAGATGCTGCAATTTACATTGTTTCCACCTTCTTTCACTGTGTGCAAATCAATCTGGCTAATCAGCCTATATACTCCATCAATTAAGTGTATTATTTTATCTTGTGTTAGTTAACCATATTGTTTCATCTAACTGGAAATCACTGTTGGGACATCCAACCTAACTTGAAATCACCCAGAAATGATGCTTGTCTAAGATGACTTGTGATGACATGATTTACCATGCTTGTGTTCCCTCAGGAGTGCTGAAGACAAGGTAAATAAGAGTAGTAAGAAAGCTGCCTATGCCTTGAATTTCACTGGAAGAAAAAAGAGAACTAACTCACAGGAAAGCTGGAAATGAAAAAAATTAAGCAAATCTAGAAACTTATTTCAACATCAAACCTGATGCACGAAATGGTAGTTCTGAAATGACATTCAGAGAATACCATCAGTGTCATACTCAGCGTTCATGAATTAAACATCATTGGAAGGAAGATAACTGTGCTTGTCAGGGACCACAACTGGAACCATGGCAAAGGCTCTAAGTTAGTCATAGTCTAATGCTATGTAAAATATGGATCTGGAAACAGAATGAGTCATTGTCAGTAATGTTTTACTTACTGCTCCATCCTGGAGCTCTGACTTGGAAAGAAATACTTGTCAGCAGGACTCTGGGCCACAAGATTAGAAAAATATCAGAATGTTGAAAATATGACAGAATAAGCAAGGATCAAAGTACATGGAAGCAAACCTCATGATACAAGTCAAGAGTGGATAAATGCACAGTAAAAATGTGCCAGACTAATAATGACATTTCTCTACGAAGGAAAAATTACAGATCCATTAATGGAGATTTTTATTTTAATGATAGCTTACAACTTCTTTCCTGGCTTCTAAAAGCATTTAGGTGCCACAGAAAATGCTTCAACTTTGCTTTCACCCATGAAATATTTAAACTCAAAAGAGTCTGTAGTAAGTAAGGAAAGACTGAAGGTAATTAAGATTAAATTGTGAGAAAAAAAAAAATATCATCAACCCAGTTCTGATATATTTTATGAAAGCACTCTCCACCACATGAGAATTAAATCATCACAGTCATTATGTGAGGAAAAAAACCCAGAGACAGTGCCCTACTACAGTATTTTCTATTCATGATGCTGAGTATAACTGCTTTGTGACTTTTGTTTTCCTGTGCATTGCATGCTTAGTGGACACAAGTCACTCTTCTTAAAGTTGATTCATGGATTTTTTTAAAGCCAAAGGAACAATGCCCATTCATTCTGACCATATGTAATGGACAAACTATGAAATGCCACCTCTGAACGACTTCACCAAACTCATCACTTATGCATCTGCACTGACAAAAATATGACACATGAAAAGAGATTTCAAAAAAACCAATGAGCCTTATCAAGGTGTCTAACATGGTCTCAGAACATCTTTGATGACAACCTGGAAGGATAGGGACTGGACAGATGGAGCAACTACAAGTGGAGAAATGGCAGAGAAAGTGGTAGTTAACATCTCAAGCCAGATTAGCATCTTGTCAAGGTTTGACTATCTCAGGGGTCAGTCCTAGACCTGATACCACTCACTATTTTTAGAAGCTGTTGGGAAAATGGTACCAAAAGCAGCCTTATCAAGTTTGTGGATGACACAAAACAGCGAGGAGAGGCAGAAATACTGAAAGAAGGAGCTACTGTGCAGATAGGTCACAAAAGGTTTGGAAATTAGCATAACAGGAAATGCATGAGATTTAAGAAATATAAATTCCAGTGCTGGGAAAAAGTACTCCCAAGCATCCACACTGGCTGGAAATTGGCTGGTGGGAGTGAATCTTAGCTGAAAAGAACTTAAGGTCCCAAGAAGAGAGCTAGCAGAATGCAAGTAAGCAGCCCATCTCTGTAGCAGGAAAGCTGACTGACTGCAGGCAATATCAGCAGACTATAGCCAAGCCCAGAATTAGGGAAGTGATTAATCCACAATACCTGGCATTTGCCAAGCCACACCAAGAATGCTGTGTCCAGTTTTCGTTCTCTGTCCAAAGACATGTTAAAATTAGATAGTGCCCACCAAAGTGATTAGAAGATTGGAGATCTTAACTTACAAAGACTTATATAAAACTGTGTTGTTCCTTGAATGCAAGGCTTACAGATAATACAATCACCTTCTTCCATTACCTAAAGAGAATGTTAGAGAGAAGCTGAAGGTACTGTCTTCATTAGGATGTGTGGTGTCAGCATAAGAGGCAACAGCCAGCACTGATAATGAGAAATTCCCTGAGTATATAAGGAAAAAATTCTTCACCATGAGAAAAACTAAGTATTGGAACATCTAGCTCAGAGAAGTCATAGAATCAGCTCACTGGAAATATTTGAGACAGCTTAATAACTCAATATTCAGTAACTCTGAATAAATTAATGTTGCAT